TTGTCCCTTGAACTACAGGAAATTTGATGTGACTCATCTAATTAAGACCATATGTCAGTGCCCTTAAACCCTGTTGTCAATGCTGTCTAGGCAGTGACTCAAGGACACTTCTTGCTTAACATTTGAAACAGGAAGAATAATCATCCTTCTTTATTATTTACAATTAGCCCACCTATAATGTCTCCTATTCCTAGGGGATAATTTTGCATACCTTGGCAACGAAATTGGCCCTGGAATTTTAGAGCAAATTTCAGTAGTGTGTTTTCATCAGAAAGCAAGTGTCCAAGAAAATTAACCTTATTTTGTTGTATGGGGATATTAAAAAATATGTCCTTTAGTTATGATGACTAGAGTTTTTGAATCTGACATTGAAACTTGTGAACGAAGGATTTTTAATATGAACTCATATTAAACTAATACTTTAATATGAACTATGAATTCATACAGGTTAAAGTTTTACAAAGATATAAACACTAAATTTATATTTGTTCATTAAATGCATTTCCATACTGAAAAGAAAGAGTCAGAAAATTGGAATTATAAGGAAATCTCAAGATATACATTGGCTGTGCCTCCAGGGAGAAGCTTGCTATCTCAAATTTCCAGAGAGAGTTTTAAATAAGAAAAAATAATTGCCTGAGGAAAATACAAAATAGTCTCCTTCCAGTTTATGAATGACTCGTGTGTCCCAAGCAAGTCCAAGGCATGTCAGTTTCAGACAAGGATACAGATTTTGATTAATGAAAAGGCACATTTGAAATGATGCAGGACAATGTATAAATATTTGCTGGCATAAAAAAGTCTGTGATCAATTTTCAAGTTGGGAATAAGAAGCTTATCTCTGCTTCTGAAAAGGAATTCTGCTTTTCAGAAGCAGGGAGAGGAAGCATCCTTTTACATGCCTCTGCCAACTCCTTGACGAAATATATTGATTATGGTAGAGAGAATGCAGGGTACAGAGAAATCTCCCAGCAAAGGCTGTTTAGGTAAGAGAACTTCAATCCATTCTTGATAAACAAGAGGGGAGTCGGGCAAGGATCTGGCACTTTGCAACATTTACTTAGAAGCTATTTATGTAATGCCCAGCTATTTAAAGATAGCTGTAGTTTGTGCAGTTTTAATAATAGTCTTTAACAATATCCTAAAATGGAAACACAACATCCCTTCTGACAATCAACATTATGTAAGATCCCTTGGGACATACAAATAGAAAAAAAAAAAGAAAAATCAGAGGGTTCAGTATAATGCAAAGAAAAGAGAATTTAGGAGTATTCTAGAACAAAAATCATTTTCAGAGGCTAGCAAATGGGCTTTGCTAGGATCTAGCCATGAGAACATGAGAGTCTTCAAGATCCCTTCTGTAAAGTCTTTGTAATAGTCAATTTCATTATTGTTAATGCTTCGCGTGTAATTTCATGCCAAAATAATAACCAGTGATTTTTACAAATCGATTTGTTAGCAATATAAATATCAAAAGTTAAGAACTTCTCCAGGTGTTATTAGATGTATATATCTACACAGGTCAAGCTTACATTCATTTACGTTGATTCTGGTGCCCAGAATTGTTAACCTAGACTAATAAATTTTCTTCAAGAACACTTTATTAAGCAGTCCATGCTTGCTATTTGTCAGAAGTACTCAGGAGACAAACATAAAGGTCAGGCTAGGTTGCCTTTAGCTTGCAGTCCAGGAGGGTGTCAAACAAAGAGCAATAAGTAATTTTACATTGTACTAAAAGGCAGTCATCTCTAATGAGCTGGGAGAAATTAGGGATTGAGATATAGAGAGAATAACAAACTGTGTGGAAGTCTCCAAGTTTGTAGAATAAAGAGTAAATATTAAAACACAGATGTGAAAGCTAAGATGTGTTTAAGGAAGAATCAGATCTCAAAATGCAGAGTTGGCCACCACAGTATATTTAAGCCATATGATGGGACACATAACTTTGCAGTGCAGAAGTATGTGGGAGCATATTATAATACAGTCAAAAGCTGAGGTTATAACACAGGGAAACCTGAATGCTATGTAGGATATAAAATAGGACAGGATTAGCATTTGATTCACAGGATACCTAGACTGTTTCAGCAACAAACCAGCATGAATGAAAATTGGTTCAGAAATGTAGCCAAATCAACAACTACAATACCAGTTTCAATATTCATCCTAAAAAACATTTCTTTTTGCATCTCTCAGCTCTTTAAGAGAGAATAATGTGGGTAATGATACTATTTTTGCTGTTATCATGTTTTCAACATCATTGAGGTATAATTTACATACAATGAAATATATTCATTTTAAGTATACCAGTTGATGGATTTTGACAAATATCTGCATCTGTGTACACTTTATACCAATCTTTATGTAAACTGTTTCCACCACTCAAAAAATTCCATCACCTCAAGTCTCTTAGCAGTTATTTGGCAGATATATGTATTATAAACAACTTCCCCCAGACAATAGTTTGCCTTTGCAAGTTTTAAAGAACGGTCATTTACAAGATCAAATTTTGATGAAGTACAATTTATCTTTTCTATTTTTTATATTTAATAATATTTGTCTGCTCTAAAAAATCATAGAAAATTATGCTACCTTTTATTCTAGAAATTTTATAATTGTAATTTCTATGTTTTATTTTTACCTGTTTATGATTAATTATAACTAAAAAGGTATTATGGGACATGATGGTAAAATATTTTGAATGAAAATTCAAAATTCAAAAACTATATTTTCTACATGTTCTGCAAAGTTTTTTGATATATTTAAAGAATATAAATTGAAAATAGCTCTATTTTAGCAAGACTAGTCTGACAACTCTCCTCATGGATTTTTGAAATGATTATTTTATTTTATTGTGGTAAGAAAACTTAACATGAGATCTACCTTAGTAACTAATTTTTTAAGTGTACAATAATGTATTCTTAGCTATAGCTACAGTGGTGCACAGCAGATCTCTAGAACTTAGTCATCTTGCTTGACTGAACATTTATAGCTGTTGAACAGACTTCTCACTTTCCATTCTTCCCAGCTCCTGGCAAGGATGATTCCATTCTTTCTTTCTATGAATTTGACTATTATAGATATCTCATATAAGTGGAATAATGCAGTACTTGCCCTTTGACTGACTTATTAATATTTTGCTTACCATAATGTTCTTATAATTCTCATAATATATTGTCACGTATTGCAGAATTTCCTTCCATTTTAAGCTAATATCCATTCTATGTGTATATTCATCTTTATCCATCCATCCATCAATGGGCATTTATTTTGTTTCTACCTATTGGCTATTGTGAATAGTGCTGTAAAGAACATGGGAGTGCAGGTATTTCTTCAAGTTTCTGGTGTCAATTCAGGATTTCTGGATTATATGGTAGTTTTATTTTTTAATTTATTGAGGAAACCCCATATTGTTTTCCATATCAGCTGCACCATTTTGCATTCTTACCAAGAGTGTACAGGGTTCTGATTTTACCACATTCTCACTAATGCTTGTTGTCTTTTGCTTTTTTTATAATAGTCATCCTGGCAGATATGAAGTGGTATCTATTGTTTTTTTTTTTATTATCCTGAACTTTTATTTCATTATTTTATTTATTTATCTTTTTTTATTTCAGCATATTACAAGGGTACAAATGTTTAGGTTACCTATAGTGCCTTTGTCTCGCCCGAGTCAGAGCTTCGAGCATGTCCCATTCCAGACTGTGAGCATCACACCCATT